ACTGTTGTCAAAGGATAGTTAATAATGTTCCATAGGAAATAATTTGATAGTCATGTCTAGGTAATGAAGGATCAATTTTCAATTCAATTTAAGTGGAAAAATAAAATTCATTTTAAGGAGGAGGATATAAGATCATCACTTCTGAATCACAGGGAGAGTAGAAAAAAACACTAAACATAAAAATAGACAAATTGAAGAGTTTGGATAGAAAAATAACAAACCTCAGTATTGCATAGTAATTTTTATGGTTAAAAAAATCTAAGAGCTGGGGGTCTCCCTGGTGGTACAAGGGGTTAAGTACCGCACTATGAAGCAATCTGCAGCCTCTGCAGCACAAGTTCGATCCCTGGCCAGCCAGGGAGCAACCCACATCGCAAGGCAGACCTCTCCTGTCTCACCCGCTGCTCACCTCAGCAGTGTATTTCAGTCAGTCTGCCTGTTCTTTTTCCCACTCTGTCTCTAGTGAATCCTCTCACCCCCTGCAACTGTGGCCTGTGTCCCAGCTCTCATATGCATAAATAAATAAATCTTAAAAAAAAAAAATCTAAGAACTGCCAGTTTTCAGTAGTGAAGCTGAAGCTGTGTACAATGTAATACATGAAGAGAATCCAAACAGAATTAGAGCTATTCCTTGGACCAATACTACATTTTTTTCTTAGTATTACCAATCCGAAACTAGACTTTTGATGACAAGGGTTTTCATTTTTATGTCTAATGTCCAAATGATGAATATTTTACAGAAGTAACCACATAATACAAATATGGTGTGACTGCATAGTTTCTTTTAAATTTGATATGTCTATCTGGCTTCCTTTCAGTATGCCACACTGCTTTCTAAAAGGTATGACTTAATTATGCATCCACTGATGTGTGACTGTATCAACATCATTTTTTTTGGTTAGTGGATATTTTAACTAATTTTTAAAAAAATGATTCTGTAATTTAGAAGATATGTATATAATTTACTTTCCTTTGACTGGTAACTAAAGTAACTTCCCTAAGTGTTCATTAGGCTTATGAATTTTTTTTTGCCCATTTTTCCCCTATTATCTTGACATTATTAGTACAATAATGTTTGAATTAGTTTTTCATTTCATAAATATAAAAATTTCACTTCATAAAAATTTTTGTATGTTGCAAATATTTTATCCCAATCACTGAAACTTTTATACTACCTTTCATATTATAAAAAATATTTTATACATTCAAAAAAAAAAATAAATTTGATATGTCTATACTTAATCTGTGCTTTTCATTCACTATCTGCTTCTACTTGAACTGCTTTGAACTCATTTTATAGTACACCATCACATAGTCTTATAATCATTTGGCATGAGCAATAATATATTGTTGTCAGAATTGACAATTCCTGTCAAACTGACCTATGGACTCAAGGTATTTCTAGTCAAAATCTTAGTAAATGTGTCTGTAAATTTTGAAAACCTATTTCTAAAACTTAAATGGAAGTACAAAAGTAACAGCAGGATAATTGAAGACAGTTAACCAAATTGAAGAATATTCATTATATTGATTACTATGAGGTAACAACAAAAATATTTACAGCTACAGGCAATATGGATGAAACTTATAATACTGAGCAAAAGAAACCAAATGCAAACAACTTTATATGTATGATGGCATTTTTATAAATGTCAAAAACAACAGGCAAAATTAATCCATAGTATTTGAAATCAGGATATTTTTACATTTGGGGTTAGGAGTAATTAAAAACACAGGATATATTTCTGTGGTTCTAGTAATGTTCATTTCTTGATTTCTACATGTGTTACATAGGTATAAAATTACTTTAAGGTGTATATAATTATAATTGCTTTATGGTTTATAACACAAACACATCTATAAAAGTATAAAGAAGAATTTTTTTTCTGTACTGATCACGAATGCTCTTTAGAATATACTATAAAAAGGTGAAAATGATTTTATAATATGCTTTATGCAACAGAAATATATGATATGTTTATATTTGTATATATATTAATAAGAAAATTATTATATTTAATATTTCCTTGTATATGTACATAATGTATCTCTGGAAAGATAACACAACTGTTTGCCTCTGCTGATGGGCACTAAGTATCCAGGCAATGGGAGTAAAAGAAATTCTTTTACTATACATATAAATTGCATGTTTTGAATGTCAAACTAAGTGAATGTGTTAAGTAGTCAAGAAAAAAATTTAAAGAAAAGTAATTCAAATTACTTTTATAAAGCAGTAAAATACTTTAAAGTAGGATTTAAATTATGTTCCCTAAAGCCAACTCTTATTGCTAGAATTCTTAAAATATTCCTTCTCTGCAGTTTAGTCAAAATTCCTTAGAAACACTTTGTTGATATTAATTAGAAAATATCACAGATAGAAAAAAGAAATATGATATAATATGTACAAGAAATTCAAGGCCTTCATATCATAGCCTTCAAATTTTACTTGAATATTATATAAAGCAATACTATGCTTTCTCGAATATTATACAATTTATGATCAGTGAGAGCAAGGGCTCTTAATATGTCAAATGTTAAGCCCTGAAAAGTGAATGTTTTATATTATTCATTTTTCAGATCATGCATTACAGAAGGCAAAACACTTTCTCTTCCATATTTAGGTTTAAAATCAGATTTGAAGGAAATCCAATGATTATCCACAAGATGCAGCTGGAATAGCTAGACCTATTTATCAATAATCTAAGGCTTGCTGCTACCTTCAAAGATTATAAAACCAAAGGCTGAGAGTGCTCCAATTAAAAAACAAACTAAAATTTACAGCATACTGTAAACAAAATATATCAGATATATACAAATAAGCCTAAGGATATATAGAAAATTTAGAGTTAAGTTACTAATAGGGCTTGGGATTTCAAAAGAGGCTTGGTTAAATTTCCCTCTTATAGATTAAAGCCTCACATGCACCATACATTTAATGATACCCCTTCACAATAAATTGTAAGAGTTAATGGAAGGATTGGGATCAGAATGGGGTGTTTGCAATTGTATGGGGGAATATAAAAATAAAATTTATTATTTAAAAAAAAAAGAGTTAATGGCTATTCTCAAGACAGTATATGATTATTGTAGAATTCATCAGAGTGAATTTATCTTTCTCAAAAAGATAAGTATCACATTTTTGTAAACATTAAAGTAGGCAATGCTTACAAAGTACCTATGACTTAAAAGGAAATCATTACCATCAATCATTGCTTCCCCCACCCAAACTACCATAAATGGGACCAGAACATTTCTTTCAACATTCCCATTGTGAGAGGAAAAGAACTGTTCTGTTTTTTTTCTTACTCAAACCACTGAAACAAAGAATCTTACAAGCAGAGAAAGAGAGAAAACCAATACAGAAACATCTAAGTAGGTAATATTTTTAGTGGTAAAGAAACCGGAATATTATCACAACTCTTGACTGTTCCTTAAAGTTTTCATAATCCCGAAAATTGTTCTAAAAACATTTTTTTTATTAACAATGGTTTACAACATTGTATATGATTCAGAGGATCTCACCTCTTCAGATCTGTTACTAACCTACCTACCACCAAGTACTCATAGTTCTCTATCGTATTATTTTAAAACTTAAGATAAATAAAAATGGATCTGTAAAAGTGCTATCTAATTATAGTGAATATCCAAAATATGTATTTAGATATTTAGCAAGCATCTAAATATCTAACGTAAAATTCCTTCTTCTAAAAATTGATGTTGATCCTAAAATGTACTAATACTCATAAACTTAATACTCATGAATAGTACTCAGAATATTGAGGGTTAATGAATTAAATAGTATAGTATGTCTATGAGAAGTTTCATGTAGAAAAAGGAAGAATGTCCATATAAATGACATCATTTTATCTCACCATACATATAAAAGCAACTTTATTTCATTAATCTCTGCCCATAAAGTGGTTGCTTATGAGCCATTACCATTAAAAAAATGAAATATTATCTTGAGCTCTCAGCAATGACTGCCAGCCTCTCTTATTTGTTTACTTAGTTTTAATAATACTTGCTAATCTGTAAAATTTCACTTCTCAGAATTTTCTTTTTCTTTCATTTACACCAAATTTTCCTGTGTTGGCTCTTTCATTCACTACAAAGAGTTTGATTCTTTCCTAAATAATAAGTACATGTACTACTATTTTATAGTTATATTCAGAGACAGAGAATAAATTACAAATTTTACTTCATTTCAAGGTGATTATTAGTGATTATTAAGTGATTATTAAGTGGATTGTTATGCTCTAGTTCTAGTTGAATTCAGTATTAGAAACATTAAAAATTTGGTGCAGTGTATTACAAATAAAATCTAACCACTTTCTCCATATTCATAGTTTCTTCTGATTATGAATATTTCATTCTAAAATGTAAGAATCTGAATTCTGATTAAATTACCATCTTTGACATGTTAATCTTGGATGTATAGTATTTCTCAAGAGTTAGTACCAGTATTTTGGGATATCCAAAATTTTTGTCTTCCTACACTTCTGTAAAGTCTATGTAGAGGTAACTGCCATGATCAAAGGTATAAAAATACACTTAGTGTTTTCTTGATTTTTAAATTTTAGGTCTATGCTTTCAGCACCCTGACTGAGGGAAAAGAACACATCATTGCTGAACTTCTAGGTTAAAGTTTGGTGAACAAATATGTTACTAGTTCTCCTTTAAAAATTACTGAACCTGGGCCTCCCCTGGTGGTGCAGCGGTTGAGCCCTGGGCTGCGAGGCTGCCTGCAGCCTCTGCAGCACTGGTTCATTCCTGGCCGCCGGCGAGGGTCCCACAAAAAAACAAACAAAAAAAATTACTGAATCTATACTAATTATAACTTTTCTGTGAAAATAAACTATTATATAAGCCAATTATAAACATTAAATTATTTCTAGCTATTAAGATTATGAAAACAAAGTCTTTCAAATGTTAATCTGAAACTTGCTCAGGAAATAAATTTCCTTGTATATTTAGAAATTATTTAATTCATAAATTCTTACCGTTCTCGGTTAAATTTAAGAGAATGAAGAATAGCTGGCCTTTTTTGTCTAAGATTCCACAAATGAAGTGTATCATCTGAACTTGCACTGACCAAAGCACCCTGAACCAAAAAGAAGACAGTGAGTAATTCAAGGTATTTTGCATGTTTGAAGCAAAAACAAGTGAATTTACTGAGTTTTTCACTGCTGGAAGAGATACCTGTATTTATATAACCTAGAAACACAAAGGAGGACAGTTGTATAGGTCCTTTCCTATACTTTGATCAGGAAGGCTAAGAACTCTGAGAGTGGAAGAAGCAAGTACAATGGTCAGGACAACTAGCTCACGGAATATGCATTTACCAATAAATAAGAAAAGCATTGTAAACATTATTGTGACTATTAAGGGTTTTGTGTTTTCTCTGGGAATAACTATGTTTAATTTTTTTGTTTCTAATGTCCATGCCAATACTATATATAGCTTTATAGATAAATATATACAACAATTAAAACAACAGTTTAAAAATTGCAATCTGGTCATATAAATATTCACCATTTCAAAGAACTTGCCATATATTTGGAAAGTATACATTCTTCCTTAAAAGCATATTTGTTACACTTTAACTTTTATAGTTCAAGAAACTTTATCTAGATAAAATAAAACATCTATAAAAAAGAAAACATTGTTCCAGCTAAAATTCAGTATAACTACAAAAGCAATACTGTGTACAGAACCATGAGCATAGCAGCGTCCAAGACATAAAAGTAATTTCATCATTAAGGTGTCTAGGGCTCATTACAATAACAAAGTGAATCTGCATGAACCACTACTAATGAAGATCTATGGAAGCATTAAAACCTGAATAAAAACAAGTCATGAGGTCAGAAACTAGGAAGCTTGGAAAATGGTACAGAAAATGAGTATGAGGACAGTTCAGGATTGACAACATAAACAATGAAAGGATGTTGAAGGCTTGTCATTATTTATTTTTAATTATGTAGCACAGAGACGAGCTTAAGGGCTTGAAAAGAATTCCCAGAAGCTCAGACACAGAAAAAAAAATCACCTGGAAACAAGTTGTGCTTCCCAGTAACATGCATACAGAAGGCAAAAGGCTGAGATCTCTCAACTTGGAGCTACAGCATAACAATCAAAAAGGTTGACATTCTGGATATTAATGACTAATTATTACAAGTTAATATTTTAAAAAATGTTTTCACTTTTTTTCCTTATCTTCCTCTCTCATTTTTATATCCACTAGCAAGTATGCCTACATGGTGAAATAAGCTAGGTCTGTTTGTTAATAAGGAGGATCTGATAGCCTTCAGAGAAAAATTTTGAGCCAAGAGAAGTAGAAAGCGGACATTTGCCAATATCACAATTTTTCATGCCTGGGGTATGTCAGATATGAAGTTCTATGAAACATTTTACCCATTTTTATGATTATTAATACTTAGGAAAGGCATATGCACGAATCTATGGAAACAAAGAAACAAAAAAACTGTGGTACCTTATTTTTTCCCCCTTAAGGCATTAAGTTCAATCTGCTAAATTCATGAATTTGGTTTGGCACAAATTTTTAAAACATTTTTGCATTGACAGCTAACTTAGCATAAAAACAACTATAGAAGACTCCAGGGTCTCCTATACAAATCAGAGTCAAAAAACTTACAGTCAAATAACGGAAGATCTGAAAACTTTCTGAGCTTTATAAATACAGAGTTTGTCTTTAGGGAGTTCCTTATCATCACAGGTCTACATAAATAGGGTTAGGGTAATCAGCCAATTATCGTAATAGCTATGGATGTATAGAAATATAAATGTATACACATACCAACAAATTCATATGGAAATATGTATAGATAAAAGAGGTCATGGGTAAGTGAAAGATTATGTCATGGAAGATAAAGACAAGTTAATTAGATTATAAAATTTAAGTTGGTAGAAGTACGTATCCAGGAAAGTTTTACAGTTAAACAATTAAAAGATTTTTAGTGACTTTTAAAAAATTTAAATAATTTACTTATAAATTATGCTACATTAACCACAATAACAGGATCTTCTGTTTTCCTTGAAAATTTTCCTTTAAATTTTATCAAATTGACAAATACAGCAGTGCATTCTTTGAAATTTTGACCATGAATAGTGTACATAAAAATATTAAGCATTTAGAATCATATTATAATAAGAGCACATTAGCTAATATAGTGAGAGAGAGCGAGAGAGCGAGCGAGAGAGAAAGAGAAATAGTCAGGAAAAGTCTTACCTCATTGATCAAGAACTGGAGCTGCAGGACAGCTGCACCACTTTCATGTTGGCAATAACAATCAACACCAGGTCTCCCAAGTCTAATGTACTAAAAGTCAAGGATTCTAACATGTTAATTAGCATTAATATTAATGGGTAAAGAAGAAGTTAAGTTAATCAGCAACCAATGTTTTGCCTATTTAGTTATTATTTTTGCAAATAAAAAGTTGAAAAATCTTAGTCCTAGTTGATGAAAATTACATGATAGAGCATTAAAAGTCAGAAAAGTGGTCAAATAAGATGTTCCTCAAAAGTTTTCCCCCTAAACAACATTTGGCATCCATCTACAGACCAAAGAGCCTTTGTGGAAGCTTCGGGATCTATGTAGGAGATTGTGAAACCCTGAATAAAGAAAGTTATTTTGAGACGGTAGGCTCATATGCAGATAGCTAACACTTGGACTAGGGTCTTAGTTATAGAAACAGAAAGAGCTCAATATCCTGATAATTTAGCCACAACTCTATTTGGTTTTGAGTCAGTCACCAGCATACACATATGCAAGTGACCCAGAGAAATCACATTCATTCATGCAATTGGTAATAAGCATACAGACCTTTAATCAGGCTATGGGCCCAGAAGTGGCCTTGATTAACTATAGCCCCTCTCTGCTACTGTTTGGAAGCCCCTGGAGGTAGGCCTGCCAAGTTCAGACAGTAGACTCTGAGATGGTCCTATAACTTGGTTCTAGTCCATCCCAGTGATAGTCCATGAGTAGTTTTTTGGGCACAAGATCTCTGTAGGAGACACTCCTCTATCTGTATCCCGGAGATCTTGAAACTAAAGTATCCTCACAGTTGCAGTTGGTCTCTCTGTTGGCAGAGAGAGCCATGAATCTTTCCTAGGCTCAATCTGACATAGGCATCAGGCAGGCGAGATCCTCATCTTTGCCCCAGAGATCCTATTAAGGCCCTATACACTACAGCTTCTTCACAGCCACAGGACCAGTCTTCCAAAATCCCTGAAAGTTCAGGATCCCAGGAGGAGACACTCCCATCTGTGTCTCTTGAGATCCTGAAAGGCCCTATCCCGCTGACTCCAGTTCACTTAGCTAGGGTCAGGGGCTAAACCGTGCTCTCCAGAGTCCTGGAGGGACACACATCCATCCATGCTTGCAGAGCCTGGTATGAGATCAATCTTGGCTGTAGAATCTGAAACTGTTCTGAGTGTAGGTTTCACCACCTTTCAGCCACAGTCCAGAGTCAGTCCTGCCCACACAAGGACCATCCAGTGACCAGGCGGCAATTTTCCCAGGTACCTGGCAGAAATCACATCTGTCATGTACCTGGTAGTATGGCTACTGTTTAGAACCCATATATAGAACCTAAAGCAGACCCTTTCCCAGCATCATTCTACTTAGTAAGGCACTGGAGACTGTCACATTTGCCTAGAAAATAAAATGGGTCCACTCCAGTCCAATCTATTAATAAGCCCTCAAACAACAAACCTCACTGCTGACTCCAACCCGACACAGCAGTGATTCTGAAGATAATCCTGTTAGGGAAACAAAAAAGAGAAGGTCTTTGTCTATTGAAACCAGTCTGTAAAAACTGGAGAAGCTATGTCTCCTACAAATACATAAAAACCAATGCAAGTTTGCATGATCATGAAGAGTAAGGCAAATATGACCCCAACAAAAATAAATAATAGAACTCTAATAATGGATCCTAACAAAATGTAGATCAATGATTTTCCTTACAAAGAATTCAAAATAATCATAAGGAAGCTAAATTCAAGTGAACATAGATATCTAAATGAAATCTAAAACAATTCATGAACAGAATGAGTAAAATAAAGAAATTGAAAACCAACAACTGAAATAAATCCTAGTACTGAGCAGCCCCAGGCTACGAGCGGGGGACTTGGGGGTTGCCTCTGGTGCTGGAGCCTCTGCTGCCCACTGCCACTGCTGCTACCACTGTAGCCACTTCCCAAGTGGCCTGGGTGGGACCAACAAAGCAGGCATGCCCTACCACTCACCAGGCAGAGCCCAGGTGGGGGCCCTGCAACATGTACAAATTACCCACTTGAGAATTCTATAAAGGATTTAAAGTAAAAGTAATTCCAATTCGACAAAATTCTTGCAGAAAACTGAGAGTAGTACTTTCCAATTCATTCTACGAAAACAGTATTTCTCTGATACCAAAACATCACAAAAACCATACCTCATGAACATAGATTTGTAAAAATGCTAATCAAAGTTTTCACAATTGTAATGCAACATTATATTTAAAGATTTATATATTATGACCAAGTGGAAATTATCCCAAGAATGCAAAATTGAATTAACATAGAAAATTCAAATAATACAATTCATCTTATTAACAGATTATTAAAAAAAAAACACATGATAATTTTGATAGATGGAGGCAAGTGTTTGACAAAATTCAAAAACTCATAATAAAATCTCTCAGCAAACTGGGAAAACAGAAGGTATGCATGATCGGAAAGGAAGAATTAAAATTGGTTCTATTTGTAGAGGACATAATAATCTATGTAAAAAAATAAATCTGATGAGACCAAAAAATAATGTTCCTGAAACTAATGAATTGGATTTAAAGAATGCAAGATCAAAAATTTTTTAAATTATTACATTTCTATCTACATGCAAAGAGCATTATACATTTAAAAGAAGTAATTCTAACTTCTCAAACATATAAAAAAATACAAATGGCCAATGGGTACGTACAAAAATGCTTATCATCACTTATCATCAGGAAAGTGCAAATCAAAACCACAATAAGATATCATCTCACACTCACACCCAAAAAAGACAAGAAACAATAGTGGTGAGGATGTGGGGAAAAGGGAACACCTTGTATACTGTTGGTGGGAGCTAGACTGATTCAGCCCCTATGGAAACCACTTTAGGTTTCTACCCAAAGAATCCAAAAACACTAATGTGAAGGGATATATTATGCATTCTTATGCCCACTGCAGTATGATTTACTATAGTCAAGTTAAGACAATGTAAGTGGCCATGGACAGATAAATGGATTAAGATATGATATATTTACACAGTGGAATATTACTCGGCTACAAAAAAAAATTATTAACCATTATGACAATGTGGATATAACTTGAGGGGATTATACTAAGCAAAATGAGGAGAAAGACAAATAACAGATAATTTCAATCATATATGGAACACAGAGGAAAAAAAACCCAGACAAAACCAAATGAAAACAAATCCGGAAAATCTGACTGCAGAACTGAGGTTACCAAAGGGAGTTGTGGGAAACTGGGAACAAAGTGTGGAAGTAGCCCAGCAGACAATGGTGGAGGACTGTGGGTGCCTTGGTGATGGGTGTGGTGTAACATAAATCTGAAGAGGTGTGAATCTCTTAATGATAAACCAGAGTAACCTCAATAAAAAAAATTTTTAAAGAATTTCTGAGCCTTAATATAAAAAAAGTTATAAAAATATTGAAAGACACAATAAAAAAGTATATTTAAAAGAGAATCAAAAATACCTAGAAATAAGTTTAACAAAATATGTTTTAGATCTATTACTGAATATTATGAAAGATGGAAAAGAAAAATTAAAGACCTAAATGGAGATACACAGTATTTATGTATTGGAAGATTCAATATTGTTAAGATGGCAAACTTCCCTAAACTGATTAGATTTGATGAAATCAAAACAAAACTTCTAGATAGTTTAAGAAATTAACAGCTGTTTTTTCTTTCTTAAATATATTTCACAAATAACTGCAATTTTTTTTTTTTTTGTGGGACCCTCACCGGTGGCCGGTGAACGAACCGGTGCCGCAGAGGCTTTGGGTAGCCTCACAGCCCGGTGCTCAATCGCTGCGCCACCAGGGGAGGCCCAATAATTGCAAATTTAAGGTATACAACATGTTAATTTGATACATTTATCATGATTGTCATTATAGCAATAATTAGCATCTCTATCATATTACATAAGTATCCTTTCTGTTTAGAGAATAGAATAAGTTCTGGTCTCTTAGCAAGTTCAATTACTACAATACTATTTGTTGTCTATACATTAGGTCTCTTGGGCTTATTTACTAATTGCAGATTTATACCCTGGAAACATCTATCCCTAAGCTATCCCAACACCCTTCATCCCCTGGTAACCATCGTTTTATTCTGTTCTTATAAGCTGGGCTTTTTTAGATCGGACATATGAGTGATGTCATATAGTACTTGCTTTCTCTGACATCTCACTGAGCATAATGTGATCGGGATCTAGCCATGTTGTCAAAAATGATGGTATGTCCATTCTCATGGCCACACGACATTGCATTGTATTTATATATCAGACCTTCTTTCATACATGTACTCTAATATTTATTGCAGCGGTATTCACAATAGCCAAGAAATGGAAATAAGCTAAGTGCCCATCAACACACAAATTGATAGTTTGCTTCTTTCAATGATAACATGGAGACTCTAAGTCTTTCCCCAGGAAAGAACTTTGAATAACTGCCTTCATGTCCACAGACAAAAAGCTTCTATGTAGTTATGAGGAAAGAAAACTAATGTGTTGGGATTCTGACCCCAATTTTTGATATCTGATGAGAGAGCGAGAGAGCGAGAGAGCGAGAGAGAGAGAGAGAGAGAGAGAGAGAGAGAGAGAGAGAGAGTGTGTGTGTGTGTGTGTGTGTGTGTGTTGCTCAGCCGCACATACCAGCCATTTTCTTGTGGCGAGGCAGGCCCAAGGCCGTAATTCTGACAGGATGGTGGAAAGGTGGTGAGCCAGATCCCTGATGCACGTCCTCTCTATTTACAGCTTTAAATCTTACTCCCCCTTTCTTTTTCCTTTGTGTCCACATCTGGACAAGCTGATAAGAAAACGTGATTGTTTACTTTTTTGACACCAGCAGATTTAAACCATGCAAATCCCCTAATTTAGCAGGGGAACTTACCCACTTAGTAATCACAATAAAACCCCAAGCTTTTCCCTCTTAAGTCATTTCAGACCTGCTTGAGAGGGCTGCCCTGCTCTCCCCAGAGACTTCAGTTTGCTAAGTAATAAACTTTTTCATACCTTGTTGGTGTATCAGTGACATAGGCAGTC